CCTAAAAGGGACGCCGAGGATCCCCGCCCTTTGATATTAGGGAGTCCCCCCCCCGGGATATTTTAATCATTTTTAATGGCTTTGATCATTGGATTGGATCCAATGCTGTTAAATAATACAGTTATTTCTTAACTACTCTTACAGTGGTTGAAGGACATCTAAGTCAGGTGGTACAGGCCAACCAACTTGGGCACGCAGTTTTTGAACATTCCAGTTATTGATTTGGTCGGCAATTATGTCTTTTATAGTTGACAAGGTTCTCTTATGATCATCTGTTAAGAACAACTACGAAGAGGCAAAATGTTTAAGTGTTTCTTTCTCATTCTGTGTGGAATTGTTTTATTTTTCAAGTGTTTAATTAACTAAAGTTATTTCAGTGAAGCTGTGACTGCATCAGATATTTATGTAGCAATGTAATTAGTAAAAAGATACCTATATATGTTCATTGTTTTTGGGGTGGGGTGGCCAATGAGAAAAAAGATTTGAAAAAAACTATACCAGATGCCGCCAAAAATAGTCCCTATATAAACATCACATTATGTAAAGATAGAGAGCAGTTGAAGTTGAAGTTGTTTATTAGTTTATTAGTGGTTTTGCACCTGTTCAAAACCTCCTAAATATGTCTGCCCTCTTTTAAGAGTGACTTAAAAGAGTCACTTAAAAAGTGACTGATTACATGAGATATAAGTGCTGTGGTTGTTTATAACTACAGAGAGGAGCTAGGAAGACATTCAAGCTTAAGCTTAACTTAGGAAACAATATCGAACATGATTGTTTACCTGCTCATCAAATGCTCTTAGCATTTCGTCCATTTGACACGATGCATTTTCCATCCTATCCAATGAATTCATATTTATGATCAAACACAACTAGCTGAAAATCTATGGCCTAAGATTTAACTTAAAGACATATTCGACATGGAGTGTACATGGCTTCGACGCTTCAACTAGGGTTGTGGAAATTCTGCTCGTTAAGCACATTTCCTGAAATTTTACTTTTTTTGACAAGATTAGTTAACCTTATCTTACCAAACACTGAAATTATCGACTTCCATTTTCTTCTCTAGTCCTCTAGCTTATAGTTTTATAGTCTACATGCACTCGTCATCTGGACTGCAGGGCATCACAAAGTGCAAAGACATACTAGTAACCTTCGCATGTCAGCGTATAGAGGCTAAATGGGGAATACCCGTCTTGCTACGGTATTTGACAGGAGCGGAAGTGGGTTCTATACATGACGTCATTGGTTCTCAGAAAAATGCTTGAAGTTCCCAGAAGTTTATGCAAGTCAGTGTATCTAATCGATATCTTTCCCTTTTATGGAATATCTTACCCATTCTTCTTGGGCAGTAAACACAGGAAGCCCAAAAATAACAGATAACTATCTTCACTTCACTTCAATAGGCCATTTGCATCATGAAGTAACTTTACTACAACTGCCAGAGAGCCTTGCGCATTTTCATTGTTATTCAGATTTTTAATCCCCTTGGAGATTAATAAAACAATTGGCAGTTGTAGTAAATGACGCCATAATGCATATCGCCTATTATTAAGATGCAACCTTACAATCCCCCCCCCCCCCCCCCCTTACAACTAGTACTATACCTTGCACCGCGGACGATTAGAGGATATTTACTAAGCGCGAAAAAGACAAGAAAGAAGAACAAGAAAAATGTACCGCAATTTATATATCATTACATTGATTATCGAACACCAAAAACTGAGCTGCTGTGAGCAAAAAAAAAAAAACAACTTACAATTCTTAGGTTCTATACCCCTCTCAGTGTTATTTGCAGACCGCAGACATGATTTTCCGTTAATACGTGTGGATATAAACCCAACAACAATGAACCCGTTGGTAAGGGATCACAAGTGACCCGTTTTATTGCATAAGATTGTAGCTTTGAAAGCAACGAATTCATAAAAACCTTGTACTGTAAGATTTCCATTGGGCATGATTACACTTTGTTTCACGGCTTTTTTCTTAAAAGAACTTTTTAAATCCGTATAATTACACAAATTCAAAGTCTTCTTTTCTCCACTATTGACTAGCAAATTACTTTTTTCACACTCGAAAGAAAATCACTCTGGAACAATTTCACGTAATTAGTAACATTCCACTACAGTTTSAGTGATGTCAAAACCCATGAAATAGTACGTTCTAATTGCATTCTTTCGTATCTATCTACCTCGTTTTAATAGTCAAAGTTTTTTTCGCGATTTAGTGACTTTACTATGTAACTAAAATAGCGCAGTATATTGCTGATACTCTAATACTATTTTTGAGTTGAGTGAAAACACATCAACCAACTTTCTCACTTCAAGGTTTATTTCACTTTTCTAAGGTGTCGCTAGATCTTATGGAAACACACCCTTATTCCATGTGTCGTATTCGTTTAAAGACATTCAAGTCACAATAACATTTTCTAACCACTATATACAGATAATTATACACAATCTATGACATGTCCAAATCAATTTAATCATAAAAATCACTATATTTTCTTCACGACAGACAATGGGGATCTCGTTCGGTATGAACTTGAAAGACAAAGCAATTCTTGTGATGTGCAAAAACAAAGCTTATTGTTTTGGGAGTGYAAACCAAATTGTTTTCCGTTTATAAATATTACGAAAACTTTTAAGCTTCGTTCWGCAAGAATTATTTAGCCTTCCCATTTTGAAAAGAAAATTTTGTCACAGAATTTTACAGATATATATTATCTTCCACTGCGAGAGAGTAGGMCTCTTGGTACAAGACCCTCGAGAGTTCAAAATTGGACCGCACAAACACCCTCTGACTATCGTACCTAATGGAAWAACTAAGACGCTTAAGTGAGCAAACAATCAGACTGTTAACGCTTATTTTGRTGTTTGGTTTCGAAACAGGACCCGTTTTGGAATAGGAGTAAATACGCCGTTTATTGAGTAAGCATTTAAAATGCATACGTGAAGAAAGGGTCCGGGAAGAAATATGTATACACAACCTTCATAAATGCCTTCCACTAATTTAAAAATGAAAACTTTCAACACTACCAGGTTTAGAAGCATTGGCATACAAAATGRATATAGAATCTTCATCGAGGGCTTTGCCGTTTCATTTGTTGTWTTATGCCATTTCAAARCATCTTTTCATTAGCAACTTCCATTGGCTTAGGTAGGTATCTAGTATCATTTTACCAGATTTATGAAAGTCATCGTGTAAATTGTTCGTGTAATGGCATTTATGAAAGTTGTCACTAATCAGTCAACTTCTATTTGTGAAAGAACGTACTCAMCATTGTGTCCATCCCTCTCGTCTCAATATGATGGTACAGATACAACRCTTGCCAAAATTCACTTCTCTTCGATAAAAGAAACTAGCTTTTGAAAATAAAATCATGGGGACAACTTTTTGGTAACAGAGTTTCGAGTAGGATGTTCATCAATACACATCCATAGCGGGCGAGCGAGATGACTCACAAATGTACCATCTTCGATTRAATCTTCTTAACAATGATCGAYGCAGTCGCTTTGRTTTCACCAGCCACCCAACTTCGTCGATGGCATAGTAGTTACAGGAACATGATTGTTAGGATAACTGTATCCCGCCATCCCATCGTCCTGATAGGGCGGAGAGAGAATATTTGTTCTAGGYTAATCTAAGTTCGGTAAAGTGTCTTCAAATGGCGGAACAGCATGATTTGGTTGACCCCACGTCGGGTCATTATTCTGAACCATTGACGGGTAGTTACTACCRTCTTGCATGTGGCTCAAAGGTCGACAGCTTCCGCTGTTCCAATTCTGATAAGAGTTCATATTTGCTTGAGTCGATGGGTTATAGGGCTGCTGCATTCGAGGCCATCCTTGTGCCGGAGGATTTCCTACGCAGCTTTGGTACCCCTCTCGTTCCCTTTTTTTGACAGACGCTAAATAAGCAGATTTCGACGACATGACGTTTCCATTGGGTCTATTTAATGGATAATTAGGTGAACACGAACCATAAGGTGGACCGTTTTGAAGATTGTTCTGCGGATGGGAAACTCCCTGCCAAGATATATTTACCCTTGCCTGTTCTCCGTCACGTCTTCCAACGGGAGAAGGGTCTGGTGTGGGCACACCACTTGGAGACGGCATAGAGGGCYCACTAACTTGGGAGTTTGCCGGCGATAAAAAGGGGGAAGGCTGACCCATTGAAGATGTCGGAGAGAACGGGTCACAAATAACATGAGGAGGCGTATGAGAAGACATAAAGCTCCCATCTGGACTCGTCATAGAAGCTGTGTTTGATTGGCTTCCATTGGAAATCACATCTTGCACTAATGCAATAGTTTCTTCTAAAGTTGGTAATTCTCCTAAAGGATTGGGTTCCATCACCAGTTGCGACATATGATCGATCAGGTCATTATCTTTGTTTGGATCGAAGAATACAGAATCTGGCTCATTCAACGGAAAATCTAAAGAACAGAAAATGATTTTATGAAACATACAGAAATCTTAAATTGAATGCAAGGCTAAGTTTATACTTTACCGGACCGGACCCACGCTTTTGTTCGAAAGAAATAATAATAATAAAAAAACAATCGATCGAGTAAAAGACGTGTACAAATTCGTCCGGAATCTTGTATAATCGTAGCCACATTATTGTGTGTGTGGTTAGTAGCTCATAGCGTATTATTACGTTAACGAATATGTTAATGGKACGCTACACAGGTTATCATGCTCAAGAAGACCAGTCAAAAACTTGAGATGGGTGCAAGACACTTGAAAGTAGAAAATACGTACAAAGGCGAGGGCAGAGTGCTATGTCAAACAGTGCTCAGCGTTTAGAAGCATTTAGCAGAAGCAAGCGTGTAAGTTCACACTAATCTTCACAAGGTAAAGCTTACCTTGCGACAAAAATGTGAGGTCGGGAGGGTCTGTCATGAGTTCATCTTGCAAATCTACACCTAGATCTAGGTCGTCAGGGGAAGCAGGTGCAGAAGTACAAGCAGTAGAGCTAAAACCATCTTCGGGAAATGAGGATAAATTAGCTTGTGGTGATAGGGATCCATCTGTAGGAGATGTTGCCGGACCTAGTGATTCAAAAACACTCGAATAAACTTTGAAGCTCGTTCACGCTCGACTGAAACACTGCCAAATGAGGGCAAACCGACATTTTAGCACAATATTTCACGTTAGCTTTCTTATAATTTGTACATTCTTTCTTTTGCCACCTCAGGTTCATGAGCCAAACAAGTGGAAAAAGACTATGGTATAGTTCTAAACACCATTAGCTAAGACCCCCATTTCTCCATAAGTTTCAGCTCCAAGTGAACGATATGCAAGCCAGCAGCTGCGCACTAGTCCACAATGCATGAGCACATGTACACGCCTATCTACTTTAACATGCCTTATATGGAGAACGAATGCATGTGCAAGGTATGCTGGTCTGAGATATACGATTGCATGTACTTTTATACTTTGGCGTTTGGATAACTACAGTATGACCACAAAAAAAAAAAAATACTTTGATCATATCTATAAGAAGCATTACAACAGTACCCTGACAAATTGCAACTAACAGAAACAAAAAAAATTAGCTTCAATTGGACAAAATCAGCTTTGATCAAAAAATGAGACATTATCATAACGTTTACGCACTAATACAGCTGCAAAAACTCCTAAAAACAGAGAAGACTTCCTTTCTTTTTTATGCCTATAAAGAACTCAGTACTTCCTTTTTAAATATGGCTTACTGGACAACTTGCGTTCTAAATAACTACTAGATAGCAAAAGCGAAAAAGGTAKATTTTAGGCAAGTGCAGTATAGTGATATTGGATATTCTTCATATGAGATGAAGTATCTTCTTTTTCCTATTTTTTCAGTATTATTATTAAGACAATATCAGCACATAAACATAAACCAGGWTCAATCGCATTAAGTAAACTTGAGTGATATATTACCTCGGTTATAACAATGCTGAGGRGGGTGAACACCATTTCCAGGCATGTCAGGAACTTTTTTGTTACCAGGAAAGAACTTTGGAGGGACTCCAGGAAACTTAAAGTCCTGTTGCCCTCCRTTGCTTTTATCAAACATATGCTGGAATCTGGGATCTTTTGGGCTAGCATTACCATCGTTTGTAACAAAAGGCAATGCAGCAGCGTGCTGACCTCGTTGTCGCAATACTTCTTCGCCTTCTTCATCACTATTCAAATGAATTAAAATATCAATTATACTAATAATTAAATTCTCATAGTTATTACATTCCAACAAGTTCAGAACAAAGAAATTTGCTACATCTGAGAAATGAACAAAATGCAATGTTAAAATTAAGTAGAAATATGAAACAGAAGTTGAGAGAGTTTTATTTAAAAAATGCTATGTACCTTAAGGGCCGGTTTGTAGTGATTACAAAATCAGCTTCYTTTCCTTTGAAAACAACTTGTGCTGTTCCTGTTAACCACTGCCACTTCATATTTTTATTCAGAAGACGGAAAGTGCCCTGACATTTTCCTGTTGCCATTACTAAAAACAGATAAAAKATATAAGAAGTATACTAAAATTTAACATTATCTTAATAAACAGGTTGTAAAAACTCTGTTATAGCTGTTAGTAAAGAAAAAGCTAATACCAAAAGACATAACTTTCAGTATTTAAATTTTTTAATATTCAATTTTTTTCTTTTCATTTTCCTGTTGCCAAGTCAGATAAAAATAACTAAAGTTTAATAACCTTTAAGAATCTTAGGGTGTTGTTATAACATTTGTAAAGACACAATTTTGTTTACAAACAACATACAATCATTTGGCAAAATTGTAATAATAATTTTTTCTTAGGAAGCTTTCTTAGCAAGCGATATTTTTTTAAAAATATCGAAAAGAGGAGCAGTTGCATGTTGGCAGTCTAAAGAGATTCAAAGTTGGTGGGRGTGCCGGGAAGGAGAAACTGAAAGATCTACCTCTGCCTCACCCTTAAAGAGCACACCACAATGGTTACTCTGCTACTAATAATGTCAATGCCTTTCAGTTATTCAATTGATCAATCACTCATAATCAATCAATCAATCAATCAAAAATAATGTAATGACTTACAGTCTACATGGAGCTGCTTCAGCACTACAATATCTTCAAAATGAATCATGCAGTAACTGGACTGCAAAGCAATATCACGTTTATGATAACCAAGAAGTGCTCGACCCCTGCAAATACAGCAAWGTTGTTAGCTACTTCACCAAGCTGACCATAATTAACCATAACATGCTTACTTTTGGTCAATGTCCACAAAACTCAAATCCATTCGATTTTTACTACAAAACAGCGATGTTTTTAGACGAATCTCAAGAATGGAATTGGTCATCGTTTCCATTGGTGTACATATYAGGAAAAGGCCATATTCTTTTTTATCCTTTTCTGGCAAAGTCATTTCTCTCAGGCGGCCATTGCACTTGAATGGCTAAAGAAGGGAAAATATGAAGTTAGGGACATAGCATGAATGTTGGAAATAAAGTTGGAAATGTTTCATTTAAGATGAAGCCACTTTAAGATTCGTTTTGTAACATGCTTTACAAGATAAAGTTGATAATTAAGCTTGTGTTCATTTTTGTGTACTTTTAACAATAAATTATAATTACAAAACCAAACCACACACAAGAAGAAAAAACCTGTTGTGGGTGATATGTACATAGAATGATAAAGAAAAAAAAATCAGAGGTTTATTTCAAAACTGATAAACAATAACTGAGGTAACTGCATTTTACAAATTGGAGTCACGGCATAATAGCTTTTGTGTACCTTATTTTACTACAACAAAGAACTCTAACTTGTACTCATTTACTTTCAATTAGATATACAGTCAATACATACAGTCAATACATTTACCTTAAAGAAACCAGCACTGGTATTTAAGATGCATTTCATCCGGCAAATGAATGACCGTTCTGTGTGGATTTCCTTGGAAAGGGATTCAGTTTCTGCAGATAAAAGAAAGAAAGTGCCCTTGAGTACATTATGTAAAGATTTCAAGTTCTGTCTATTTTGATTGGAGATAGTTTGTTTTTAGGGGAGCAAAAGGATTTAATTTGGCACAAGATTATATTATATTGCCATGCATGTTTATTTATAGATTCAAAGGTTGTGTATAGTATTTTTGAATAGCATTCAAAGCTTTTGTTATAGTAAAAATCTAAATAATTCAAATTCATCAGCAGGATGTCAAGTCCTCACAGCTGGAAATAATGGTAAATTTAATTATGACAATTTCAATAAACTATGAAAAACCTACATGTAACCTCCAGAGAGATTTAGTTGATTAAGTTTTCTGAATCATGATTGAAATAACATTCATGTACTGTATACAAAGTGTATACAATAACAATTATTCAACAGAAAAGAGGGCATAGTTGGCATAAGGATGTTTAGGTTAAAACAAATGTGCTTCTAATCCACTAATGTGTAAGCAATAACATGAACCTGAAGAGTGTTTACATTAGGAACCAATAACATTCACTGAGTTGGGGGAATTAAAATGAAATTATATTCCAAAAGGATTAAATTACCATTTTCAAATCTGAAATGGTTTGAATGTTTGAAACAAATAAAGGAAGTTCAATTCCTTAAGCTGGACAATTTCTATAATTACTTTTCTCTTGGAAGATTGTAGCTAGAAGGCAATTTKAATGTAAATCCTTAATATTTATAGAGACCCATAAAGGAATATCGAGGTTTCGGTACATGTATATGGATATAGTTTTAAAAAAGGCTATAAGATTTCATTTTAAACACTTAAATATTTTTTTACTTTCATAGGATCTGTCTTCTATGAGATTAAGATCAAGTTCCATACAAACGCAAATGCTGATAAACTACAAAATAAATAAAAAGAAGTATTTATATTATGAACATACAACATTATATTACAAACCGATTGTATCAAAGTAGTTTTTTTTCGACAAAAATGGTTCAAATCTGGRATTCTAAAAAATTGCACAAGTACACCATGTGTCTTATTGCACTCCTTTCAGTTCCTTTCACACATTACTATCTAATCTAAGAATCTTTCTTAGTTTTAAATTACACAAATGGATATCATAGAAAATGGTCACAAAATGGAAAAAGGATGGTAAAACTGTGAATCTATAAATTGAAATTTATAAGATGTTCAATTTTATAAACATGAAAAAGCTTAGCATTTTCTAGAATAGATATTGTTACTTAGTAAGATGTAGGAAGTTAAAAAAAAACAATATTGGTGTTTTATATTTTTTACTTCATTGTAATTAGAGAAGGTGTATTTGCTATKATTTTTACAATCATATGACTTTTAAAATCAGCATCTTGTCCCTTTTGGAAAATAAGTCACATGAAGCTTCTAGTACCTATAGKCGTAAGCATCTGGAAGGATTAGGAGATGGACAGTTCTATTGYGGACTCATTAGCATGAAGCACACTTCTTTCTAGCAAATGAATTTTTATTTAATTCATGACAAACATTTTCTTCATTARTCCTGATAATGATACCAGCACATGTTCAAATATCAAACATTGTGGCTATTAATTTCCAATGTTCATTAAAAGATAATAAAAAATTAATAATGAAAACCAAAATATAAATGACTGGAATCTATTTTATGCTCGAGGCTAGACAATCAGACAGTGTATAATCAACTACTTCATTTGTTATGCAACTTGTACAACCCAGTCTTATGCCATATGTGGATGAGTTAAGACTTGCACATTTTTAAAATCTTTTGATTCACTCATGTCTAACTCTCACAGCATGGGGACAATATAAATGTCTCCCAGCCTTTCATGGTTGAAAGAATTCAGAGAAATTAAATTTTCATGAACATTATAAGAGCATTTTTACATGAATTTTTTAGACACAGTGGTGAAGTCTGTGCCAAGTTTAAACTTGTGAAACCTTATATTCTTTTGCCTTAAATAACAACTAACTGCATAGTGTTTAACCTAGAAATGAGCTAAGGTATGACCAAGTTTGGTTTTACCAGCTATAAACCTTAAGGACAGGCTATGCATCACGCTGCTTAAAATTCATGACCTTTATTGCTTTAGGGCTTGTTTTCAATAGATACCAGCATGTCAGTATGGGAATTTCTTTGTAAAAAACACAAACAGAAGTAACAAATGAATATGAAAAAATTACCAATTTCCTGATGATAATTGTTTATGCTTATGTGATAACATAACTGGGGCAACATACATGTTAGCATATCATGCTAATGCTTATATCAAGGGCAGTATGAGCATCCTTCTGTTTTGGCTCAACATCACAGTGTGAGTTGATCCTGTGTTTAAGTGCTTAAAACAAAGTTTTATTGGGCTTTTATAAGCTATTTTATGTATGTGAATATGATCTCATGCATGCATGAGTGCTTTACCATTAATTAGACAGGCCTTTCTAATTGGATGAAATTGATTTTGGCATTGCAACACGTGCTCATAAACTTGGAATTACTATAACAATGGGAAGGTCCTCAGACAGATAACCTTTCAGAAGAATCCAGAATGTTTGCACATCTAACTCTCCAAATAATGAATGAGATGAATTTCTTTGACAWAATGTAATTTACTGTATTTGCATATTATCTGTTTTTGGTTATCATTTGAGTTTCATATACAAACCATATATCACGCAAAAATTTAGACATGTGAAATTTACCTGAAACTGTATCTTCATCTTTTGATTTTGAAGGCTTTGAAGGATCACCATCATTTTCATCATCTAAAATCTTGATTTTCTGCAATACCACAGAAATACAAGATTTAATAAATATTATGTCATTGCCCATGTTATTAAAGAAAGTAATCTTGGATTTATGGAAGAGTCAGACTGGTTACTGTAGGCCCCCTTCATCTTCCACTCGAAACCTCCGAACTATTGTACTCCCAACTTTAGAGCAAAAATCACTTAGCTAGTTGCTTAATATCATTCTTTTGGAAAAAACAATAAATTGCAGATATGTTAACTGATCAGTCATTGTTAATGAATAAGAAGATTTTATTAACTTGTCTTGTACGACTGACTTCAATTTCTGAATTCACTAAGTATAAAAAAATAAAAATCAAGTAACGATAAATCATACTTAATCATATTAAGTACCTTTTCTTCTTCTAGATGAGGCTGGAGGTTTTTCTTGATCAGTTCGTGATCATCTACATGAATGAATCTCATAAAGTCCTGATGAATGACACTAGCCTAAACAGTTAAAATGATAACAATCAGWTCATCAACATGCTAATAATTAATTATGCTGGAGTACAAAACTACAAACAACAGATTAAGCCTTAGGGACTGTTCAGTCTACGACAGACGAAMGTACAGACTTAACATTCCATCTCCATATCCTCATGTGGTCATGTTTTCCATTTAGTTCTGCTTGTTTCCCAAGTTTTTCACATAAACATTCACATGGCAGTTGTCTCTGCTTATGTCACAGTAGGTGGTATTCAAATATAAACTTGATTAAAACTAATAATAATATTCACTAATATGGAATTAATATTCACTAATATGGAATTAAGTTTTAAGACCTTAATGCTTAAAGTTTACATAGCCTAAAATCGTACCTGTGATAGTCCAAGATAATCTTGAATTGTCTCTGAGGCATAAAACAACTCAAAATCTTGAGTTAGGACAATAACAAATCCATCCAAAGCCTAAAAGATACGAATTCATGTAAGAATTCAAAAAATTCAGTGATGCAACAAATGAAGAAGATCGTCTGGTACCTCAAGAAGAAGTTTAGAAAAAACTCCATTCCCTTCAAATGTGAACTCGTTTGGCCTGGCAAGAGCTTTCTTTGCTGTTTGTTCTGAACTGTCTGTCCAATGTTGCTCTTAAAATAAAGAAAATAAGAAAGTRTTTAATAAAAAAATATCATTTCAAAGTTATGACTTGAATCAACCTCGCAAAATAATATACATGTACTTGAACAAAACTGTTAATCTAGTGCCAGGTTCCTCTCAGCCAGTCATGTGACGCGCGAGCAGGTGAAAATGGCGGGAAATGAGTTGACAAGCGCAACCCAACAAGAAAAAGTCTAAAAACAGCTATAAAGAAATGCCKTTAAGAGTTTTCAAGGACGACAAGGTAAGCTAAAGCTAATTTTTTCGTTTTTTATCTCTAAGCAAAACTGACTTCTATAAAGAGGTAAGTTAAAGAAAAATCAAAGTTGTGACAGTTTGAACACATGTATCATTTGGGACCGAAGCCTTCCCYACATTTAAGATTTTTGCTTTATCTAAGATGATAAACTCTTACCTTTGAAGAAGTTCTTAGCTCTGAGGTAGCTGGCAGAAAGTCTCAGAATAGACAGTTTGTCAAGTTTTTGAATGACATCGTTTGGGAAGGGAAGGAGCTTGGCCAAATTGTCAAGTTCAACATTGAATCTATCTCGGTGACGCTTTGAAGGGTTCAGCGATCCTTTCAAGCTAAAACAATTAATGAAGATGAAGAGGAATCAGACAAGATAAAAGCGAGATAAGACTAATGTTGTGATTAAAATACTGAAAGTTTTGATGAACAGTTATTAATCGGTTTGATTGCTTTTGTTAGTTTATAGATATATTAATACAGATATTCCCTTAATTAGGATTTGCCTATCACATCTAATTACATGTTCAGCCAATGAACCTAGACACTGCCATGAACAGGAAATTTAAACATGAGCCACTCAACCTAGATTGTCATTTCTGATTAAATGAATTTGGCACTGTAACTACAAAAGCACAATCTTAACCACWGAATACCACAACAAGCCAAATGCACAATAACAATGAAAGGAGTGCTAATCTTTTAAAATAGGTTTAATAAATTAATGATGGAAACGAAAATAATGTTCTGACCCCACTGGACCACATTGTCTCCTAAAGTCTGAAAGTGCATCTAGACTAGACAAGATAGAATAACAGTAGCTTTAGCYATGGATTTTAGATCAGATTCCTTTTGGCTTTGATTGGAGTTAATATCCGAAATCACTATGTTTTGATCAAGATGGTTTTGATTCCTAGCTTAGCAGTGCCATTTTAATGGTCTTTCATTATGCACAAGAATGTTGGTTGAGCACTGAAACCTTTACCACCATATGGTTTAATAGWTTGATGGAATGACAGCAATCTATTTGATGGTTTTTGTTATAATAGATGGCATGACACTACTCAAGTTTCACATRAAGCATGTCTTTTGTTCATTAGTGTGGCGTACTTCTATATTTACTATCTAGAAAATATCTGCACATAAAATGTCTCAGGAAATGCTTTTCAGCTTATCYTCAATACCATACACTAAGTTGTCCTTTAAGTTATGCAACTGTTCCCATATGTTTACATGTTAATAATCTATCTAATTTAATGTCACACTTGACCATAAATTACATCAAGTGCTTCATAATATCTTTTTAATACTAAAAGTGCCTAAATATTCTCCAAACTAAAAAGTTTTCAAACAAGAAAGCTTTGATTGATTGTCCTTAAGGATGATTATGATGACTAGCATGAACTATAGATATGGTATTCCAGGATTCCAAATYCAATCCTTCTCTATTTTGGTTATGTGCCAGTTGTTATCAATGATTTTTCATTAACATGTCTGTTAAAATATTGTTTCAATAATTCTTGTTATGCCCTTATTTAAATTCTAGGTCTCAAGAAGATTTAATTGTTTCTACAGATGCTAACSTTTCGTCCTAAAATAATAAAAATACATTGGTTAGGAAGAAACTATGCAAAATTTAGAAAATTACGATTTGATTTTTGGCAAACCGTTTGCAAGATAAGAGTAAGCTTTTTATATTAAAAAGTTAATATACTTTTTATCCTATCTTAGGTGATTTTGAACCATAAATGAGTACTATTCTCATGTTGATAAGAACAAAGCTTTCCTACAACACATAATACACATAAATTATAAACAACCTGGTGAATTTTCCAAGTGTTATGGGGGTTCACAAAAATAAAAACTTAATGACTAAAGGCTTATAGCCAGAAAGGGCTGTAAAACACATCAGAAGCAGCTGGAGTAGTGGAATTTACAGTCGGTTACGGTAAAAAAAAGTAACCCTATTATTAGAATCGAAAATTAACAACCACGAGTATTACATATTGATGTTGGGATTAAATATTATAGAAATTGCAATTTCTACTGTAAAGAGACAAAAGTATATATAGATGGAGACGTTTTCGTACATTCAATACAGAGTCCTTGAAAGCACTTTCTATATCGATTAACATTTGAACGTTTCGAAGAGTGCTTTAGTGCCAACTTTCAAATCAATATCGTATTTGACATATATGTTTATGTTTGTTYGTTAGGGTGGAGCGAAAAGAGAAAAAAATCCATTTCTACAACATTTTCACCGTTAATGTTCCGTGTTTTCAATCCCGGTTCCATTGATCGATGATATAATAAACAGAATAAAAAAATATAACGATCGACATGCAGCTTCCTTTTGTAGTAAGTCATCCGATGACGTTTAAAAGGATATTTTAAGTCTGCTCGTTTGTATTGATTGTGTAGAACATGGTAGAAGTGCCGAAACATTGATGTGTGTTGCCGGTTTTTTTCTCTTGTTTTATCCGACTTCCCGTGTTAAAATAGTCTTTCTCCCCACGCAAGATGATTCAACACGTTTATAAACAGTTTTTGCTAGATTCCGCCCAGGTAATGGAACAACATCGAGGCAAGTCTCATATAAATGTTAGTGATGTCATTTCTTTCAGAATCAACAATTGTAAGTCCTTGTTGCATTTTCGAGGTCTAGAAAGCTTCCATTGCACTTGCAGCCACACTTATTATATCCTTTTAATAGTGCAATAGCATAAAATCCTTCTCGCCGAAGTGCCTCCCAAAAATACAACACTCAAACATATACACTTACATCCACGAGACTAAGTGTATATATCGTACGCTAAAAAACCTGTCTTGAACCACATATCGTACACTTTAAAGCAGTGCTTTAAAGCGCTAATTCGATTTGACAAAATGAAAAATGTACATAAACAAAACCCTGAAACCATGGGTACACATCGATGTACAAGAATTGAGAACGTGTACGACGAATGGCGTTAGAAAAGACAAGTCGAATGTTGAGATTTTGATAAACATGGGACAGGAAATTAATCTTGTTTGGATACCCTACTCCCCGCGAATAAAAACCAAAGCAGGCACAATTTGAAGTTTTATGAAGAAACGGCATGTTGTACAGAAATACACGCTGGGACAATAGCTGTTTATCTTTAGTGAAGGGTGATGATCTAGGAGGCCAAATGGGGGAGCTATAGTCTATTTTCCTCTTCTTTATTCTAATGTATAAGTCCCATCGCCGTCAACACACGACAGAAAGACTAAGAAAGCACAATGTATGAATTTGCCTAAAAAATATTGAACAATCCATATGGCAAAATATCACCAATGCAGTGGAATAGTGAAAATGTCTATGGACCAAATTAGCATAAGAATCGAGAGAAAACAACCGCAGATGAAAAGACATGTGCAAGTGCCATGAAATAGAGCGATTTGTTGTGGCAGCTTAATGCATATGCAAATTGTGCAAAGCATCTAAAGTATGTTTTGGACTCTCTTCTGGCTTTACCTCCTACGAAATCTTGGTTGGAGCTCGTTTGAACTTTTGTCCTGCTCATTTAATCAGTGACTTTTTTACCCAAATATATTGTGCAACATCAATGCGATGCGAGTTTCAARCGTGAGGYATAAAAATAATATTTTCTGATTGGTTTTGTTTTACTGTTTTCTCTCTCAGATCATCAACGTCCGTCGGGTTTTATCGAAAACCAAACATTTGACAGTTCCTACTATCATCTTTTTCATTTGAAATTCTCCTTCCCAAAAAATACGAAGCATTTTCGACAGGAGGTTTTTTGGGAATGTAGCGATGATGTGTCGTATTTCGCCTGCCATCGACATGAGTCCGTGGCACTGAACTACAACAAAAGCGAAACTCGAAGCTATAGCATCTCGTTTACTATCAAAGAATATCAGAAGCTCTTTTTCAGCTATAAATGTAGTCTAATTTTTCCATTTTTCAAAGGGAATTTCATGGATGATTCGAATTACACAAGAAAGAAAATGTGACTCGTTGTGTTAACGTCATCACCGTCCGCTCGTCGAGCACGTACCACAACTCGTTTTGATGCCTCGTGCACGGAAGCTCGAACAGCAGTTCCAGTTGTTGTATGAGCGATTAACTTTAGTAAAAAACTTCCTCAAATATCCAAATGTGTAACTGTAAATTCTATAGAACTCAAGGACTTTCTTTTTACAGCTGTCAAAGGTCACTAGATGTGCCGCTTGCTACTCAATAATACGCAGTTTTTCCAAGTAGTACAGTCACTATGTCTTCGGCTTCGAACGTCTGTATACGCTAAGGAGGGCCGCCATGTCAGCTGACTGTTCTAGTATTCAATTTCAATATGAAATCGACAATGAAATTTACAAACTCGCGAAAATAAGTAATCGTGTCTAGATTTTTGTGGCGCGTTTTTATCACTTCCACCCACCCAAGATTATTTTACACATGGACGATTGCTGTAAGTTGTACATGTTACGGCAATAATGGTATTTTTGCACTGTTCAATTGACCTAGAGTTGTACGATTTTCCATGGAAATCAGGAAGCAAAACTAAATGTCTGGTTGTGCTTATTTGTTGGGTCAAGTGCGGAATATATTGCTGATATAAGGTGCTGTTTACAGGACCATTACTCGAGCTACGTTTCCCTACAGCTAAACGCCGATGGCGTCCCTACGTTTAATTCAAGTACGCCAAATATTTTGAAGCAAGTGGCATTGACGTACACTCAGTAGGTAGACATAGAAGCTTGTTTTAGCACACAGCACCTTTCGTTTGCTCTTGGCCTTCACTGAACGAATCAGTCATTCTACCTGATTTGCTCCGAAGGTCAGACTGKTTTTGGCCGCTCCGACACTTAAACATTGCTCTCTAATGCTCCCTTTCTACTCTCAACCTACACATCCATACCTGTGTWCAACAGTCATTCAATATGTGTTTTAGAAGGTCGAACGTACCTTGAGCTACGCTTTTTTCTCTTGGCAGTACTCATGTTTGTCTCTGAATACGAATTACATTAGCTAAGTCGCCATGTCCTTTGTTGAAGTGCTTTCGCGAGCAGAGCTGTGCAAAAGTTTCCCCCACAATGTAAAGACTCCCTTCAATCCACAATCACTGTATTAGATTAAACCTGGTAAGATTAGCAATTTTCTGATTTTCAGAAGGAGTGATTCAGAATAGGTAACTTCGCTTTAACGACCAACAAATCCTTCCTCGCCCCTGCGAATAATACTTCATGAACATACATCTATCAGACTAAGCCAAGCGAATAGAATAGTCGCGCGCTGATTGGTCACTGTGACCTCGTTATCAAGAACGTCACAAATGACCTTTGCATATTTAAGCTGAGGCTCAACAATGGCATGTCTCTCCATATTTTATCAAAGAAATTGAAACCCGAGGGATGCGGTGGATATCCGGTTCAAAAATGGGGAGGGTTACAGTTAAACTTTGCTTGACACCAAAGGGGCTATTTTTCACAGGAACATTAATTCCTCAGTATAACAGAAGGTGACAGATTTCAAGCGTTTTCTTCAGCAGAGGTGTCTTGTTTGACACCTACAATTACAAACAATCATTCGTCTTGCAAGTATTCTTTGTTAGACGAACAAAGGCAGATATGAATCTCATTGACATTCTTGCTTGTGAAGGAATAAACTTGGCGTATGTTGATTCYAGGGGGAGATAGTTGATCAAATCGACAAAATTCCATAGGTTACTTCTCTGTGGAAAGTTTAACAGTCGAAAACTCATACCTCATACCCATCTACTGAACCCCTGGGGCAGTTGTCATACCGACAGGGGGGTGACTTCGGTGCATTTTCAATATATGACAATCTATGTTATGAAAGCGTCGAAAACTTATGAATGCTGTCACAGTTGGTGGTCTGAAAAAGTTTGAACTATGTTGGTCATGAATACCAGTCATTGAYATGGTTATGAAAAAATAAATTTTCGTTTGTCAGCAGGTGCAAYGTGGTAATTATGAAAATGAAACATGTTACTTATGCATTTAAAATACGTGAATTCTCTTTCAAGCAGACGTTTATCGTATAAATATGCCTTCATTGAGACTGGACTACGCCTTTGTAAGTGTTATGTCATGTTTGGTTTCCAATGGATTTAAAACCATTGGAAGATCAGTTCTCATAAAGGATTCTCTATCAGTCAAAATCTAAATAAATAGTGTTTGTTATGAGTTGACGTACGTTTTCCCGCCAAAACACTAATAGGGGTTTATTCACATTCAAGTTATATTTGTTCACTTGCCAGCAGGGAGGTCAATGTTATTTAATGGTAKTGTCTGACAAAAAGTCAAATACTGGACCTATTGTTTGGCAGATTTTGCAAATCCGGCGTAGCAAAACGGTTGTTCTCGCCACACGAAATGCATAATATGAATACTTTTAAAAGCGTTCTTAGTGAGTTCGAATAACAGTTGGTGTACACACTTTCAATGTGTAAACTTTCGGTGTCAGAAATGTTTGTATGTTGGTTTGAAGKTGATCTTTCCATGTTGTAACATGTGCTGAAGACAATGGTTGATTATTGCAAAGCTCTGGACTAATGGACTATTGCTTTCCGCAATGTTTGCGTACTGTTWACACATTCAAAACACCTGTTTTTACTTCGATGGCACACCTTTCAAATAAGCTGATCGACGTGCTGGACAAACGTGTCAGCCACGTGCCATTGCCGTTAGTTTTACGTTCTTCTTWATTTTTATTTTTTAAGTCTTCAAATTTCCACCAAGCTTCAATCATCTTCAAGTATTTTTTTAAGCATACCTTATAAAGTAATTCGTAAATAYAGATATCTGCACACATGGTGTTAGACCAGTAAGACCAATAGCATTGTGCTGGTCAGTTAATTCGTACCATTGTTAGATTGCCGGCATGTGTTGCATGTTATTGCGTAACTGAAGTACTTTAGTCTTAATTTTCAAGCACTTACAAAGTCTTAGGGTGCAGTCTTCTATGACATGTTCCGTATACCAGTTATGCCACTTACCGCGAAAATTATACATCACCCAACCATCAGCAGCAGTGCGTAGCTGTTTCATGACAATTGTTTAAGAAAAAACATTAGAATACATTTTCATTGTATTTTAAGTCCCACACCAACCGCAGATCGTCTAAAACAGGGAAAACTCTACATTGTTTATATTGACTGGACAGCCCCAGTTCCATCATGAGCCATTCCGGATGTGGTATCTTTTGGAAGCCCGGACAATAATGTAGTCAGCTTGTGACTTCTGATCTTTCGTCGGTGCATTGAGATAAGAATGGAAGGAAGTTTACGCTGGTAAGATATCGGCGAGGAAAAACTGCTGCAAATATTTTTGTCGTTATTGTCACTACTTCATTATATCATGCRTTCAATGTAAACAAGTAATGCATACAAACTGTAGCCAGTCTTTCCTTACAATGGCCCGAATGAGGACCAGTGAGAAGTCGCACGAAAATCCCTTTTTACGCTTACAATCTTTTAACAGCGATTAATAGTAAACTGATCTGTTGGTATACTTTATCAATTTTACAGCAGAACATATGCTGCAGTTCTCGAGCACTCAGGCATGCTAGCAAAAAAGATTTCCTGTATCAYTAGCAATTGCAAAATCCGGGTGAACATGTAGTAGAACTGACTTTTTCTTTTTCTTTATTCAATATATATATCGCGAAGGGGATTATGAAAATCAAGCTTCTTTGATGGTACTTGATATGAGCTTTCATAGGAAAGCCGGATTCTTCGATGAATACTATCAGAACTCGTCTTTGGTCCATTTTATTTTTTTAAGCGAAAAAAAAACTTTGTCTGTTTGCTGTTGATTCTGGCCTGTGGTCTGTCAGTTTCCAGGACAAATAAAAAAAGTTAATTGGAAAAGTGTTCATTGTGCTTGTTTCAAACAAAAGTGGCTGATCACATTTTGACAGCTTTTCCTGCTATTTCAAGAGGCTACCAGRTCAGACTCCTCCGCAGACAGCCTCACCGTCTATTGACAATGAGCAAATTTCAGGCTAGACATTCAGAGAAAGATAATTAAAGAACGTTTTCATTTGTGTATTTGGAAAATAAAGTTTAATAAAATCTACCGTCTGAAAGGGCTATAACAGGATCTCATAATTAAGGCCGAATGAACGTTAGAATGAATAAAAGTAACTAAATTAAAACACACATACTGCACGTGGATAGTCGTTATTTTTTCATAACGGTTTAGTACTATAGCTTTGTAAACGCCCGAATACATGTGGAGTGACCAGAAATAGACATGTGTTCCCGCTGTGCCTCTGCTTCCATATTATACAGACAATAACAGTACAAACATATTATACATTGACCGTTTCTTGTTATTTCTCACAAGAGCTTTTCTTATTTTCAGGGACTATTCTTTGCGGTTTATGCGTTACATTAAGAAACATTTTTTCGTCTTGGTATTGCGGGAAGTATCAAACATTTTGAAAGCAATTTTACACMGAACAATTTCTTGTGCGCGAKKCTTTATTTCTAATGGGACTGTTTATGACCTTATTTGACAAGCGACCAATAAGATYCGAATTTGAATGTATAATTTTCAAAAATTGACGCACATTTGATAAYCCTATGTGCAAATAATAAAAACAATAATCCGGCTGGCAGAATAAGGGAAAAGATATAAGTTGATTATTAAAAATACGAGAACAAGTTTCTACCTTGACACTATCATGAACGAATACTATTCTATTGGATTAAAATTGTATTGAGTTGAAATATAAAATAAAAACCKTCAGCTAGTGATGCGGCTATATATACAGTCGTTTAACGTTCAACTGAAGTGATAAGCTCATGTTTAAGCTGACCACTATTTTATTCCCACGACGAACTCTACTTGCTATTCATACGTTGGTCGCTTTTTCATAATATAGTCCTTTTTATCCTGCAAAGTAGAACGTTTACATGCAAAAGGTTAACCACGTTTCTCAGTTGTATACTGTTATTTAACTCAACAAAAATGACTTTTTAGGCTACGACGTTATAGACTAAATGTATGTGATCATATTGTGTGATCATTGGCTGTAGTTTTCGTTAAGCTGACCTCCGCCCTAACCGAAGCTTTATTCAAGTCTGTCTCATTTGTTTGTTTCACACATTTAATTATAGGAAATTGAATCACATTGTGATTATGCCAGTGGATATGAAACACTTTCAGAAAACTCTAGTAACAATTTAAATTGATGATTCAAGACCTTTGAATAACCGATTAGCACAGATTTTTATTGCGTTTTCTTGGCTATTCAATTAAAGACTTGTCGCGAATGAGTTCAACCGCAGAGAAGCCAGATTATTTAATTCTTCCACAACATTGCCATATTGGCAAGGGAGGCGTCCCTTTGTCTGCCATCACAAATGCGGAAAAATACACCCGATAGATCTGTGCTGTTAAGGCGGTGATAACCACCTCAACTTCGTTTTTGACATGGAAGCCTCGAAAACACAAACAATTGTTAAAAGCTAGTTTAGTAAATTTATCTATTATGACTAGAATTCACTGGTATCGTCTATCAGAGAGGCCGACGCCGACAACTAGCTGAGATTACTTTTCCAATGTACATCATTTCGAAGGCCTTAATCTATTTTAGGTTTTATCTCGGTTAGACCGTTTCAGCTCCGTTTAATTGATGGTATCATGGTACACAGTGGTCTTTCGTAGCGCTTTTCTCGTAATGCTAATGCTTCAAGGATTAAATATAGAATCATTAGAATCGAAGGCGTCTTGGGGACGGTAACATTCACCAAAGAGAGTATGATCGCTATCGTAAACCGCATCGGCTGCTATTCAATGCATTTCTCCCAAAAAATGTTTCGAAAAAAGGTTGCATAAAACGGTATAAAACTGATCTAGTTTAGCCGACGTAAAGCAGTTCTAGAAAATGTAACGATTCAGACCAAGAGGACATCGGCAACAATTAGTTTAAGTTATCATGAATGTCATTTGCAAATAACTTATTTTCAATACTATAATAATTGAGGTTGATTTCTTAAAAACATTTTGGGAGAATCGAAAAATGCAATAAAGGGTCGAGACTACGCCTTTTTTTATTATTCTACCGTACTCCATTACCTCTCATGGTATATTGATACGACAGGATTCACAAATTTAAAAAATCTATAGCCGCATCAGCTGTATAGCTTTTCAAAAGCTAAAAAAAAGTTCCATTYCTTAATCAATACAGTAATCATTTAATAAACTTTTATGTGATAA